CCTGCGCTGGTGGGGCCCTGGGCTCGGGCCATACCCTCCTCCTGTCCTCACCTCTGCCCTGCCTGCCCTAGTCCTTCCCCAGCCTGTGGCGGTGGCTCCGTGCCTGCTCCCACCAGCCACTGTCCAGAGGGTGGCAGGGCCAGGCCCTCTGGCCACCAGGAGCTGGCCCTGACGGCTGGTGACAGTCCCCGTCCAGTGACAGTGTGCTGGGGCTCCCCTGGGAAGGCGGGCAGCAGCCACACCACTCCTGCTCACCCGGGCCTGCCCCACCCAGCCTGGTCTCCTCTCCTCGGCCCCATCTCCATCCTGGAGGACACCAGCTCTATCCAGGCCGCAGGCCCAGTGTCCCCCTGGAGAGAGTCCCCCTTGGAACTTTCAGGAAAGGCTGTGTGGGAGAAAACCCAGACTCTGAGCAGCTGGAGCAGAGCGCTTTACTGCTCCCTGCTTCAAAAGTTGGAGTAGGAGTCCCAGGGTGCTCCCTTTCAGTCTTGGGATATCTTCAGCAAGTGGCTTTCTCCTCATGATCCAAAATGGCTGCTTGAGTCTCAGCCATCACATGTGAGTCCCGGCTGGCAGGAAGGAGAAAGGGTAAAGGGTTAAGGCTTCCCCATTAGTCAGGGCTGGGTCTTGCGTCCATGCTTAATTCCAAGAGAGCCAAGGCAGTGTGGCCTTCCCTCAGGCATGGTGTGGATCCAGAGCATATGGCACAAGAGGAAGAGGAGGTGGGGGCATGGGACGCCAACAGTCACAGCCAGGACTGGTCACTGCCGAGGTCCTGCTCTCAGTCATGTGTTTGCTGTTATCTCTGGTGCCTTCCTTCCTTGCTGCTTAGTACCCTGGCACTGAGGGAGAGCCTGGGCAAAAGGTGGGCTTTAAACTGGGTACAGTGGCCGGCCCCTGCAGTCCCAGCTACCCAGGAAGCTGAGGCAGGAAGATCCCCGGGCCGAGGAGCAAGGAAGTCAGCTGTGATTTCCTCGGTGACCGGTGGTGTGGCGTGCTTCCTCTGCAGTGCTGTGAGGCAGGGAGTCCCTGTGCAGTCTGGGCCTTGGCAGGAGCAGAGCCGAGTGGGTGAGGCCCAGACCACCGTCCACACACTGCCCTCTGCTCTGTCCCCAGGCCAGCCACTCCTCCACAGCCAACCCCACCTGGGCCGGGTCACTGGCCTGCCGGGCCCAAGGAGTTCTACGTCGAGGCCGGGTGGAGCACGGGCCCATTTCCGGTGATCTGCACGGTGGCAGCTGTGACACCACAGGGACAAAGTCCTGCTGGGATCGAGCACCTGCTGAGGTGCATAGCTGTGCACAAACCGTGTTTCCTTTGTTTCAGAGGAGGGAGAGCTGAGGTTTCCCTTTTTGCCTTGGCCACTAGGAGCCTCAGTTTATATCAAGCACCCAGGGTCAGCACCAGCCTCAAGTGAGGTCTTCAGGGAGTGGATGGGTGGGACTTGGCGCCTGGAGCCTAGACCTGAGTCTGGGCCATGGCTTCCATGACTGCCCGTTTCTTAGACCTGAGGGTTAGCGTGTGTGCGTCTGTGGGTGACACTGAGGATCGAACCCAGAGCCTTCTCGCTGCACTGCATCCCAGTCAGTTTTCATTTCTAATTTTTATTTTTAAAATTTTGAGGCAGGATCTCACTAAGCCACTAAGTTGTCCAGGCTAGACTTGAACTCGTGATCCTCCTGCCTCAGCCTCCCAGAGCTCCAGGGTGACAGGTGTGCTCCCCTCTCCAGCCCCTCCCCAGTCATTGCTCCGCTGTCTGGCCTGTGTCCCTTGGGAGGGCCGTGGAGCTTGAGGGGGGTGGGGCAGTGCAGCGGCTCTCCGGCCCACGAGGACTTCCCTGAGGCAGTGCTCTCCTCCGCGGTCCCCAGGGCTGTTGGGGACTGAGCCTTGGACGAAGCTGAAGCCAAGGGTGGAGTCTAGGGCAGGAACAGACCTGTGGTCCCCGGTCTCCCTTGGGTCTTGGGACACAGGCCATGCGGAGCACTGGTGGGTGCGGGAGCGGCAGGAAGTCCCCTGACATCACACAGCTCCCGAGAAGGGGCCAGGACTGCCCCCAAGCTGGTCCACGGCCACCATGAACCGGCCTTGAGTTGTGGGCGGCACATCACCCCGGGAGCTGCAGGCCAGCAGGGTCATGTCACAGAGACAGCGGGCTGTGGGCAGCTGTCCTGCCTCAGCCTCCTGGGCTCCCTCACCCTGCACCTGGCTCCCCACCCACCATGCTGCCCGTGTCCTGGATAGGTCTCTTGCTGTTGCCACCCTCTTTCCGTGCTCTTGTAGCCATTTCCTGTCCAAATGAGTGCGAGCCAGGTGTGGTGGGCCACACCTGTGATCCTAGCACTCTGGGAGGCTGAGGCAGGAGGATCACTAGCTCAAGTACAACCTGGGCAATTTTAGTGAGACCCTGCCTCAAAATTTAAAAAATTAAAAAGATTACAAAAGCTCTGGGGATGTGACTCAGTGTGGAGGCCCCGGGTTCAAGCCACAGCTCTGCACAAGAGAGCTCTGTTGCCTCCACAGTCCCGACCCCGTGGGACCTCCCTGGCCCGGGTCCCTGGGGTGTGGCATCTGGCTGGGGGACTTTGCCAGGCCTGCCACCCTGACTGTGGTGGGCAGGGCACGTGGGTCCCAGGAGGGTGGAAGCAGCTGGGCCCCTATCTGCGGAGCCAGATGTCCCAGCTGACTCGGGCTGGCCCCGCCCGTGCCTCAGGGCCTCCGGTGCATCCAGAGTTGCCAGAGCCAAGTTGCTCATGGCGGCACCCACTGGGCACGGGCAGAGGAAGGCACAGTGACAGGGTGCTTAGGGGGAAGCCCGGCCCACAGGGAGCACGGCGTCTGGGTCCCTTCCACAGGAGCCCCGGCCTCGCCTACCCCACCCTACTCATCCCACCCCAGCCGAGGCTGAGCTTGGGGGCTCAGAGACCTGTCGGGCAGTGTGCCTTGGTCTCCCCGCATGGGCCAGGCAGGTCCAGTCCCATCTGCTCAGGACTCAGCCGTCCTCTGTGGCCCGAGTCCCTGCTCCCTGCCTGGGCCCAGCCGGGTGTCAGCTGCCCAGAGCCTGGAGAGGAGGTAGAGCAGAGCTTTAGTCTAACTGTGCTTCACTTTACCCTGGGGATAGGGCATGGGGTTTCCGAGTCCACTTGGGGAGGATGGGAGCGAGTCCACAGATTTTTTGTTTTTTGAGACAGTGTTTTGCTATGTAGCCTAGGCTGGCCTCGAACTCACAGCAATTCTCCTGCCTCAGCCTCCTGAGCGCTCTTACAGGTGTGCACGCACCCCCGTCTTTATTTTGCACCCACTGCTGTGCCAGGCCCAGTGTCAAGAGTGAAAAGGGGGGCTGGGACGTGACACTGTCAAGGGCCAGGGGCCTGAGCAG